AGATGTTGCTCACATAGTAATCCAGTCCCTTACATCTTTACTGTCTAATTTTACGGCACATCATATAAATTCATCACTAAAGCACATGTTAGGCCTTTATATTTCTATCTAAGTTATATGCTAACGACACCATCTTAAACGTGATAATATGGTCATAGTGCTAGAAATGATGCACATTTAAGATGTCGGGCGTACACTCTTCCGTTTCATTGAACTGGTAGCTATTCACTTATTTGTTGTTGTGACAGCTATTGCTCTTCAAGTGATGATGCAGTTAATCGAAGATTGCAATATTGGTCAATAAAACATTGTACTTCTGAGGAATTATCGCATTCTCCTGTGCGTGTTGTTGTGATGTAAGTTGCAAAATTTCTTCCGGTGGGCGAATGGAAGAACGTTTGCTGATATTTAATTCCAGTTAGGGTATGGTTGATTTACAATATATCTTCGGTCTGATTTGTCTAATGTCCTCTGCGTTTACACCTGAACTAAAATGTGAAGGACTATAATTGATATTTTTTGAAGTGTGAGGCATACTGAGAGAAATAAAGTAAAATCTTCTATGTAGTCGGGCAGTTAGTTATCTTCAAAGCTAAATTTGTACGGTTTCACACTACTTTAACTATAAACTCCTAGAACCATAAAGACAATCAAACGATTTATCATCTCGTTGTAACTTCTAAGTAAAGTAACACTGACACAGATTTAAAATGAATATTTTTATGAACCTCTCAGCCTAACTGTTACACAGAACTGAAAACAGTAACATAAAATCAAATCTTCATAGCTTGTGAGAAATTAAATTAAAAAAATGCTAGTCAATTTAAGTATCAAATACGAAGTAATACGCTCATCAGTAAGCTTTGGCCCAGCCTCAATATCTTCACGAAGCAATTACGGCTTACGCGTTACGGCGTTACGGCTGCCAAATATTCTCTCTCGAATTCAAGAACTCTATACTTAAACAAATTAAATAATTTGCAACTGGTAAGAGTTGAAGAAAGTAGAAATGAAAGCAAGGCAGAATAATAAGATAACTGTTTAGTTAACATAAAACCTACATATTGCTTTCACGAAAAGGCTAAGAAATGTTTTAGGCAGCTATTATAAGCCGTCAAAGCTATGGTAACAAAATTACAGTAATGGAAAAGAGAATTCATTCCATGGTCCATTGGGATCTAACTGTTAGGAGCTCAAACATTATTCCTGTGTAAAATGATTAATTATTATAAAGTAATGTGATTAAAATAGTTACATAATTAATTATCGTAAATTACAAGTTTGGAACAAATTAGCTGTTTCTTCGAGCAAAGTAAATAAGCCTAATTTCAAATTAATAGAGCAGCCAGCTGCTTTTGCCTTCTTACCTCAGCTTCTAAGGCTAAAAAATGAATCCAGGAAAATAACTGTTTTTATGAATCACAAAGGAGTGGTATTGATTTAGAAGGTAAGCTAAGAATCGTATTTAGTGCTTGTCACGCCGTTGCGAGAGATGAATACATACGTTTCAACATTTAATTTTGCTTCTTTACTTTTTTTCTTCTTTACTTCTTTATATTTTTATCACAGATAACATTTATCCATCGTCGTTGACCAATTAGATATAATAATTCAATGGTCGAATAATTTATACAAGTTCATAAAAGTTGCAAAAGCAATAAAATGAGCACTAAAATTTTATGAGCCAAATATTGAACCGAAGTTTCAGAGCTTAAACTCTAACGAAATGCGAATTCACTATAATTATTATAAACACAAATTTTGCATGAGAGTTATTTATTATCGCACAACTATAGTTACTTAATTAGAATATCTCGAAAAGCGACTGCTACTTTTCACTAAACAAATACGCAGTGGAAAACAAAAGTCGTTACCACTTGTGAAGAATATTTGTTGCAAACTTTGTGTTTTTAAAACATAATGATTTTACATTCTACATTTTAAAACAGTGAGAATTCATTTTTAAATTAACAGCCTATCGCAATTGCATTGTTTGGATCCGTTTCTGCTGTTAAGCTAGAGTTTAAATGCAAAAATCAAATTCCATTAAAAAATATAAATTTTTTATTTTTAGTTAAAATTTTTAAAAAATTTGAAATTTTTACTGATGATTTTTTTAAATGTTAAATTGCAGTCTGAAACTTCAAATTACAGTTTTTTTTGTAGATAGTCATGTACAACACGAAACCGGTTCAGTTTTACAATAAAGTCAAAAATTCATTTGATGAAAAGGAGACGGAAAACGAAATACTGAAATTCCCAGAAGAAAGATAAGGGTATATCTGCCATCAAAAACCACTCTGAAGTTCGCTATTCCTTCTTTGCTGAAACCATTTCTCGATTCTTATAAGCAATGATTGCTTGAATTGCCCTTTCAGTAGATTACATCCCATTTCGATCACGTGATCTTTAGTGCTTAAGATTTAGTGCATCCGATCACGTGATGTAACGCATGATTTTGTAGTGCAACTGCTTGCATTCGTTATTTTCTCTACGGCTGTTACTACTTTCCAGGCAACTGCAGTGTTATTGCTTGTCCCGCAGCTTTTTCCCAATGAGACTGTTACGAAGTTTGTATTTAGATAAATAATTTTAGTAGAATTATCATTACAAAAATTGTTCTATTTTCTCGTGTAATACAGCAAATTTTAAGAGAAAGATATGCCGGAAATGTAAAACTACAGGAGCACCTGCGTTTAATATTGAATAAATGGGTATCTCTGTAATTCGTATTGAATAAATGGAATTGACCACTAAGAAAAGTTATTTTATTTTGGATAATTATGACCACTCAGGCTGAGGCCTGGTGGCGCAACGGTAGCGCATCTGACTCCAGATCAGAAGGTTGCGTGTTCAAATCACGTCTGGGTTACGAATTTGTTTTTCCTTTCCGAATTTCTCTGTGGCTCAGTTGTTAGCGCATTACAAGACACTCCGAAAGTAGAAAATTATTTTTTCCGTAGAGACATTAGGGTTTAAAAAATGTCTGTTGTGCATTTTTATTTTGAAATTAAAGTAATAGTATAAATTTCATTCAACTTGTATTAACTTATTATGGCCCCCTACCCCCCTAAAAAGTCTGAAAGATTTCAGATTTCATATTACGCCCACAGGGGCATTTTTGTAACGTTTTGTGAACCTGATTAGATTTTTGTGGTGTTGAGCGTTTGTTTCTTCTAGCCATTAAGCACTATCTACCGATTTTTACGAGCCAGTGCCTGCGTTCGCAATAAGTGACCCGTAAAAAGCCGTTAGACTAGCTTATCTAAATTAATTCTATTCTATTTTAAGTTACTTGTTAGCTTTTGAGTTAAGCCAAAAGTGTTGGATTTGTCGGGGATATCTGTGAATATATTGAGTTAATAAAAAGTTCTTTACACCCTTTCTCTGGACTTTGTCGTACTTGAGACTTAGGGATAATGCCTTACACAGTCTATTGACATCTAGTTAGTCTATGCTCGGTAAGAATACTAGACGTTACTGATCAATGAAATATTTCTACGAATTTTTATGACATTTTATATTTTTCGAACTTAACAGGGCTAAGATAAATTTTATAGATAAATTTAAAGTGTTATAAACTGCAATCCAAAGTTTTCAGATTGCAAGTTCATTATTATTGTTATTTTCGTTTCTAAAGTCATCATTTTCTGCGTGGGAGACCCAGAGCTTTGATTGTTTTCAAAACATAATTTTTTAATAAGCTTTAATTGATTTCTACAGTTAGTTAATGCCATATTCTGTATATAGATATATCCCAATGGATTATGTATTATCATTTACTTTTTCCCGTTCATTTTGCATTATAAAAGATTTTACATTAATTAATTACACTATTAAAACTTCATGTTTCTTTTGTTGCATATTGAGTGTCAACAATAGTAAAAAAGATCCATAAAAGAAAGCGTTTCTAATTTGAAATTACATAGCACACAAAGAAAAAATCCAAACTTATGACGTATAAACAGCAGTAACGGGACACATGACGTTTAGAACTATAATTAACTTTTAAAAATTTTCATATACATTAAAAATTAAAAGCTAGAAATAAAGTATGGGAAATAAAAGAGAAGGAAATACGGAAATGTTTTATTCATGGTTAAAATGGAAACAAAAATAGGTATAAAGAAAATTATGCATTCATAAATATTTCTCCGCGTTAACAAACAATTCCATAGACATCCTGGAAGCAGAACTGAAAAAAAATCAGATGCGGACACCACATGAGTTTCTTGTACGGGCTATTAAATTAGGCACACTTTTTTGATGCAATTCATTTAAACTTATCTTCTCGAATAGTTTTAACTTAATTGACCGATCCCTAAAGGCAAATTAAAAATGGCATAAAAAATTGCAAATTTTGAAATTAAATATCCAGGTGAATTTCTATCGTACGGGAGTCGATCTTCTTGTATTTTTACTTTTCATAACGGGTATAAAACTTTCCCAAATATAAGTTTAGGAACCGGGAAACCACATTAAATGTTAGATTCCGTTATTTGTACAAAATTATTATTAGTCCAAAAGGTCTTGAAGGACTATTGTTTCGTTTTGCGATTTTGCGTTGAATGACTTTAAACGGCGAATCACTTTTCAAACTGTTGCCACTAAATGTTAGAGTCCTAACTAAATATTAGAGTCTAATTCAGAAGTCAAACAACAAAAATCAGCGTTATACCTACAAAATTTTCACAGGACTAGTTTCGATGGTTTTACCGAACCATCATCTTCAGCTGCAAAACCGCAAATGAACAAGGTAGGAAATAATGATTAGATAAGATAAGAAAGCCTTAACAAGAATAAGCAAGTGGCGCCATCTGTTGGCGAAACCAGAACTAAAACATAATTTCTCTAAAAGCCGAAGAAATTATGTTTTAGTTCTGGTTTCGCCAACAGATGGCGCCACTTGCTTATTCTTGTTAAGGCTTTCTTATCTTATCTAATCATTATTTCCTACCTTGTTCATTTGCGGTTTTGCAGCTGAAGATGATGTTTCGGTAAAACCATCGAAACTAGTCCTGTGAAAATTTTGTAGGTATAACGCTGATTTTTGTTGTTTGACTTCTGAATTAGTATTTATTCGGCGTGTTATTGTGTCTTAATTAAATATTAGAGTATTTGAAGAAATATTGTATTGAAGAAATTAAATATTGTATTGAAGAAATTAAATATTGTATTGAAGAAATTAAATATTGTATTGAAGAAGTTAAATATTGTATTGAAGAAATTAAATATTGTATTGAAGAAGTTAAATATTGTATTGAAAAACTTTAAGGAACTTTTGAGTAACAAACTCAACGATTTCAAAGCGAGCAATAGCAACACTGTACGGGAAAAAAAAAAAACCTTTTTATCTCCGGCGCGTGGAACTGTGTATCGGAAATTCTAAAGATACGCTCATTTGAAAATTATTTTACGACATTTCTATTGAACTGAATTTTATGGTTTAAGTGAAAAGAACATGATATTTAATAAATAAAGGTAACACACAAAACGTTAAAAAAAGGTCCCGTTGGACGTAATTTAAAATCTGAAATCTTTTAGATTTTTTAAAATTATTATTTTTTAATGTGACATTTTCAAAACATCAATATTTTCGTCATTTGAAACACTTATGTAAGTGGAAGTATGTGATTATGACCAATGAATGAGCCAAAGAAAGCCCGGTAAGTGCTTTCTAAGCCAGGCAAGGTATATATATATATATATATATATATATATATATATATAATAAAATATCAAATAAATTTTTAATCCTAAAATTTATAAAAAATGCATAAGTGAATAACACGAACACATTTGGTATTGTCGATTGCAGTAAAAAAGAGAGAGATGGACAATTAGAAGTTATAGCTAGATCTATATATAGAAAACTTCAGAGTTCTATGGCTAATTTTTTTTTAGTTATGCGAGATACATACGTACAGATTCCACGAAAAAAAATCTCTTTTGAATATATTTTAAATTTATTTTACAAGCCTTTTCTGTAAAAAATGTCCTTTATTCTGTCTTTATGTACAGATGTCACACAAAAAAATAATCCAAATGGATTCGGCAATGGTGAAAACGGATGTTTTTAGTATGATATCCGAAATTTTCGCGATTACAATATTTCTTTTACTTCGTGCACGAAAGTCAAAAGGTCTTGATGATTGACCAATTTTGCATGTATGCATAATTTCCTTAAATTAAATAACATTTAACTCATAATTTCTTTAATTAAAAATGGATATTTTTTTGAAGTGTGATACCCGAAACTTTTCGCGTTTACAGTATTTCTTTGACACGGAAGTCAAAAGGTCTTGATGATTGACCAATTTTGCATGCATGCGTAATTTTTTTTTAACTAAATAACACTATGTGAGTGGGAAGCAATTTATAAAATAAATTTTTTTGTTAGAATCTATTTGAAACAGCACTCCAAATGGTCAAATTTAATTTTTTGTCAGTAATACATAATTTATGTTTCGTTTTATTAAAAAGGAAAAAAATTGATTTTTCAGCCCTCCTGAATTTTGTCATGCAGGAAAACTAGTGGCTCCAGCTCTAGCTTTTCAAAAACAGCTTGTCCGTTGAGAAGGCAGTTCGCGATTCGAAGAAAAGCGATCTTCATGCGTCACAAAATATTTTTCAGGTGAGGCAATTTTCAATTTTCAAGTTTTTGACAGGGGGAAGGAAAATATGCTTAACAGTAAAATCTGGACATGGTTACTTCCTCGAGCTGTATTTAAACATTTGAAAAGTATACTTCAAAAGAGAGGTAAACTGTATGGATCTCTTGGAAGTTCGCTCGAGCCATTTAGAAAATTCATCTTTAATTAGAAAGCTCTTACTTTTTGTTTTGGTTTGTTTACTGCTTATAAGAAAAATACTTTTCCACCATAATCTAATTTTTGATCTCGTATTCTACTCTTATTCATGGCAACGAATTTAACAAAGCAGTTCAGCAGAAAAGCATAAAGTCAGGCACTATAACAAAGCTTACGCTATGCGTTATTGAAGAGTTCCGAGAAAATGGATTTAGAAAATCTAAAACAGGAGAGTTAATTGATTACGTTTTAAGCGGGTGTCATTGAGTCTATTAATACCAGATTTAAGAACAATATAAAGCAGTTTTCTTATGAAAACAGAAACGAACTCATTTTCGCGGAAGAAAATCTATTACGACTAAACGTTTTTAATATTTGTACTAGACACTGATGTTAAGTGGTTGGCAGAAAGATTTGTGGGTTATTTGTGACACTAAGAACTTGCGAAAAAAATACCTGAGCAGCAGTTGCAATAAGTATGTATGCTTTAAGCCAGTGGTCTCAAACTCAAATTGCATGCGGGCGATTACACGATCTGAAAACAAGAGACGGATAATTTTTTTTACAAAATAGAAAAATTTATTAATAAAATATAAAATATTTTAAATAAATAAATTTTAGTTTTAGCTTATTAACGTAACACAAGCAGTAATAATATAATATGATAAAGAGAACAATGTCATATTTCTGTCTGAAATCTTCAGTACTTGTTGGAAAGTTTTGTTGGTTACACTTTGCAATAGGGAACACTCACAGCTAAATATTAAATTCTTAGACTGACACCTCTTTTAAGTAATCCTAGCGTGTTTAATTAATAATTTATTAATAAATAAATGAATGAATAAAATAAATGAATGAATAACTAAAATGAATGAACTAAAAATAAATGAATTATGAAAACTTTCCAAGTTTTCAGAGAAAGTTTTGTAAGACCCACTTTCTTATCTTCTAAGTGACTACTGTACGTGTAAAAATCTACACAGAAGAAGGGATAAAAGTACCCTTTATTAAATATTTTAAAATTCACAATGCGTCGACGCTAACACACTACGCCTCACTCGGGCGGTAACTCAAATAACAAGAACTAAACTAAAAATTCGAAGATATTAACAAGTAGTAGAAATTCTCTACAGAGCTCAGAAAACTTCTGTTACTTAAAACCCCGTCGAAAACTAGTGGCAGCAAAGTAAAAGCTGTTATGCCACGTAAACCACGTAAACTCTGTTATGCCAGATAAATGCAGAGATAGAAGCTCATGGTACAGCACTGATAGTGAATGCCCAAAACTCTCTCATTTTCCTCTAGAACTCAGTATTTAAACTTTTTCTCCTCAAGGTAGAATTTGCATTACTCCACGCGCGCTACCAAAATTTAAATATTCTGGCATTGACAATTAGGTGAATGAAGGCTTGTACGAAAGAACGTAAAATTAAATTAAATTGGTTATTTAAAATAAATATAAATCTCTGCACATTTTCAAGTAGGACAAAACTTGAGTCTATAATGGCAACTTAATTTCTTTCCCTTATTTATTATTATTTTTTTTAAATGCATATGCTTGTATGTAAATAATTTTAAACTTTTTTATTTTACCTAAAATATAACTTGACGCTTGAAGGCATTAGATTGTAATAAGGGTTCAGTGGAGAGAAATTACAGAAAATTATCTTCCTGACGGATTTTAGATTCTAATCGATCAACTGTGTACTTTTCATATCAATATTCAGCTGTGAAAAAAAGCTGTTTATATATAAATGAATTCCCAAACAAAACAATTATTCTTAACGTAAAAACTAGGAACTGAGCTCATTTTGGTTTACACGTAAGAATAAAAGTTACTAAAATCTATATAATAATTCACATTAATAAAATTTATATCACACTTTAATTTAATTGCTCATTTACAGATTTCCTAAGCGTTATTCTTGCTCATTTTTTATACAAATGGAAATGATATAAACTCGAACTGTTATAAAATAATATAAATCTCAAAATAATTGAAATCTTTGCAACAAATACATAATAAAATGCCTTCTCGGGCCGAATAAAATTGCTTCGGGTGATTTATACCAATGCTCTAAGTGAACTGAAGTAAAACTCAGACGATATAAATGTCTTATAAGTATTATCAAGTTATTACATACTGTCAACAGTTGCTTTGCATTCTTTCCCAAGCGTATCTCGGCACACATTTATGAAAAGAATTCGAAAGACACTTTTCCAAAATGTAAATTGCACTGAGAATTTGTTTGTGCATGCCTATGTCAAGTAACCTCAGCGGAATGCAGCTTTTCAAAGTCTAAGAGGTCTTTCTATAATAGCAGTAGAAAGGCAGATTGCCCATTCACTGCACACTGATGAATTAGTTAAAAGTTATATGCATAGGAATAAATAAAACAGGAAATTCAGGTTGTATCAAGGAAAGCAGGTTTGTAAACAGGAAAGGCCGACTGCACGTTCATTGTCATTTAAAAATTAATTATGAATTATATAAACAGGTAAAAGGTAAAAAAAAGGAAGAAGAAATAATATATTATGTGATTTAATATTGAAAAAGGTTATGAAGTTAAAAGCCAAATTATATGAAAAGTGGAAAAAGTTTAATTAAAAGTAAATGAGACACTATTTAAGTAAATGTGTACAAGAAAGTATGTATTTTAAAACTAAAACGGATTAAAAGAAGCGTGCTGTAAAATATAATGAACTGAAGTAAGATTTATTTTTTATGCGTTTTAAAAATTTTCGGGTAGAAATTATTAAATGCTTTACAATTTTGAATTTAGTGAAAGTATGGTAGACTTTTATCCTATAACATATATGCCCTTTACTGAATATTATATAAATGCTACATTACAGTTATTTTTAATATATTTGTATTCTATTATTTTGGAAAGCGTTCACAAGCAAAAAAATATTACATAATTACTAATAAACGTTCGAAGTAAATAAGTCATAATAATTTATGCAACATGCCATAGAAAGTACAATATTAAAAGGAATTCTGTAAGGGGTCCCAATCTTTGAACTTGCGGGAAGGGGGATTTTTTAAACCTACCCTCTCCCTGTCACTAAATGTAATGCCGGGATAGGTGACATTTGGAGAATGAATTAATACTGTTAATCAATAAATGACTTTGATTTTATATTAAAATGTTTAGATAAAAAATGCAACACTTTTCCTTAATTTTCTTTGCATAAAGTACCTATAACATACTGATCAATTTTAAATATTATTTTAAGATATATTCTCTAAGAGCAGGATGAGGTTTCCGAACAAAACTTACAGTATTTATAAGGGTTCTGAGAACCCACGGAACACTATACTATAGCGTTGATTTTTGATTGAAATTAAGAGAACTTTAAAAATTAAAATGATCGCGCCGATGATATTTGCATTATTTGATGCTGTAAAGTTGAAAAACACTTATTATTTATACATTGAAGATTTACTATAATCAACCTGTTTTATCAGGCAAATCTGCAACGTCTCTATTCCATTTTGCCACGTAAAAACACAATCTTGACATGCATTAATTATAATCCTTTCCAATGTACAAGAAGTCGAGTCAAAGTCTATGACCAGTCTTTAACATGCTTTGTCAGGTATTTGCACAAGAATTTTTGATGATTTCACGTATTGTCAGGACAAGAATTTTATCATTTCGAATTACGGCATATGGTTCTTGGCCTCTTTTTGTATACTCAGTTGTTGGGTCATACTTTACTATTTCGCTGATATGCTGGTATTTCGAATTGTTTATTTTTTGGAAGAAGTTGTGGCTTGCAATTTAGTTATGAATATTTTCTATTTTCAGTTCTTTGCCAATTTGGTCGTTTCTTACAAATTATGAGGCATTATTCATTTTTGAAAAACTTCAGTTTGCATCTGTGTTTTGCCGGCTGTAACTCAGACAGGCGTAGAGCAAGACGAGCCCAATTAGTGTTAGATGTACTGCCCTCTTTGTTTTAATTCGTCAATTTTAATTTCTTCCGATTAGTGGATTTAGTGCAATTTTTGCAACATTTAGTTTTCATAATGCACTAATAGCTTGCTGTTTAAACAGCATTTGCTCATCGAAAAGCACACTTGTGCTGATTCAAATCATTCGTGCTCTTATTTGGAATCTAAGCGTCGTTAATTTTCCCTTATGTCTTAAATATGTTTTTTTTTTTTTTTTTTTTTTTTTTTTTTTTTTTTTTTTTTTTTTTTTTTTTTTTTTTTTTTTTTTTTTTTTTTTTTTTTTTTTTTTTATCTTCTGAGTATTGGTGTATTGCACTAGCTGGCCCCGTTAGAAATGCCCCCACACAAAACCTCAAAAAATTGTACAGGGATGTGGCTTTCGGATACCCGTAGATAAACCAACAGACCTATACGGATACCCGTAGGCCAAATCCTCATAAAAATCCATAAACAAAAACATCTAGATCTGTCCAAGACCCGTAGGCTAAATTCCCATGAAAAGCAGTAGACAAAACCTCGTAAAACTATACGGGTACTTTATGCCAAATCCCGGTACAAACCAGTAGAAAAAACATGTAGACTTAAATACATATCCAGGCGAAAACTGCAAAATTCGGGAAACAAAAACCAGTAAATATTTTCATCTGCCTCTGTTCCTAAATCTGGCAACAGCTACGACAGTTAGATGATTCTCCAAGCTGAGTGAGGAAATGGAGAGGATTCCGGTAAATGAGGTTAAGGGAACGTCACGACGGAAGAATCGATGTGATTGAAGTAGAAGGACTATAACCGTTTCCTTGATGATGTGATTCCGTTTTTATGATGAACCAAAATTTCATCTTACTTTTACCTTACTTTCTTTCATCATGTACATATCACCCTCATGTTTATTATTTCCTTATTAGAAGCTATAAAATGTCACTATCTTCTTCGTTATTAATCCTGTGATAAGGTCGCATAAATCTACGACGAATGATTTCAAATTGCAAATTCAGAGTGCAATATACGTGAAGAAATCACGGGACTAAATATAATTATTTAATTGTTATTAAAATAATATTAAGTTGTAAAAGTAGTTGTTATTAAAATAATATTAAATTGCTCGCATTTTATTATATTAAAATAATATTAACTGCGCTAAAAACGCAGGCTCGAGAGCCACGTATGGCTCTCGCACGATTGATGTATAGAATTTGATTTTTAAAAAAGATAAGTCTCTCTCTTGTAGAATCGTATGTAGCCATTTTTAGCATTCAATAAATTTTTTATGTTGTGTTTTGTTTTCAATCTGATGTCACAACCCAGGGTTTGCATAGCTGTTTCGGCCACTACACCACAATCCTAGTTTCTTCCCACGTATTCATATGCAAAATCCCTATAGAAAACAATACACAAAAACAATAGAACTGTAGAAAAAATTTCCATAAAAAGTAGTAATTATTATTATAAACCAGCAAAAGTACACAATTAGCACAAATGAAATGCACAGAACTGTATCAGAGGGAAATGAAAGCATGTAGCATAATTTTAAATCAATGAGAATAAAATTAATAAAATTTTAAATACCCAGAAACCTATAAACGTATGCCCTTCTGTATGTAAGTCAGTACAAATGCATTATAAAATATTTATATAAATTACTATTGCAAAAGTTTAAACTCCTCTTATATAATTCTGAAAATTAAATTGAGAGAAAGAATAGAAGAGAAACACGCCAATGTGACAATCAAAATCGCAATAACAACCTTGTATTTAGCGTACATATATTAAAACACTCAATCGATTTCGAGGGCATCTAAAGGTCCCTCCTCATCAGGAGAACGAAATTACTAGAAAGGAGAAAAAAGAAGAAAGCTAAAGCATTGGCAAAGGAGTCTCAGAAATACATGGTCATTATCAGTACTGCACGTGGTCGTAACCGGATTTTGAATCAGAGTTACATTGGCCGCCTACTTTTACTGAGCCAGGCTATCTGATCAAACATATAACACATAGACTAAAAACGCAAAAAATCAGCGAAGTCAAAAAATAGGGAGCGAGGGACAACCGCACCAAGTCTGAACCTCGAATAAACTTTATTCGAGGGTGCGTGAAGGTGCATTTTCGCAGGCTTAATGATTAACTAGATAGTTCTAGCAAACTGGAGGCCACTGTGTAGCGCACATACGATCAATTTTCCCTTAAAAGGTCCTCAACGAAGACGTTCCTTCCCGAGGCATATAGTCTTCGAGTGTTTTGCCATAATGAAACAAACCAAACTTAGCAAATTATAATGTGGAAATAATGACGAAATGATTGTTTAAATGCTAACAAGGAACAGATTATTGTATACTGCGAAAACAAAGGGGGGCGGAACAGTTCTATATCTTTTGTTTTACTGGGCCGTGATACGTTCTACTGGGCTGTAAACATCGGTTTCCGGACAAAGTACAGGCAATACCAAGCTATCGATATGAAAGAACACTAGGCAGCTTAATAATTAACTACTATGAGATCAAAGATGCTCCAGATATCTGAAATTGCAAACTCCCAGAATATAGCCCTTATGCAAATCAACATCACCAACATATTATTGCAGGAAATTTAGAAATTATTGAAGATAGAAATTTAAGGCAATTAATGAATCGCGGCACCAAATTTTCGACCCACTTTTAAAGTAAGCAAACAATTCTGCATCCAACAATTCGAAAAGATCTAGAAACTTTCATACTATTCTCCAGCTACAAAACTAACTTGCCTACTACGACTTACCTAGAATGGAAAGAAGAAATGCTCAGCGACACCAAAAGATGTGTCAAAGAACACATACTGAATAGCACACATAATAAACAAGATTAAGACCAGAAAGTTAAAATATTAAAGGATCTTTTCACCATTACAAAAATAGTCAAAGCAAGTAACAATTTTTGTGTCGTACTATAACGTGATTAAAAAAGAACTCCATAGCACTGTTACCTATCATAAAATTAAAGCTACGGCGAATATCCTGCAAAGACGTTTCACTGCATCGAAGAGTTCAAATTACGGCGAATAAATTTTACAACCATTTCTCTAAACTTTATGCATTGCCTAAATTTCACAAAACACCAGTCAAATTTCGATTCATAAGTACCGAGACCAGAAATTACATGAAAGAAATATACTATCGATTTACTAAAATACTTAAATTTTTTTCTACTTTATTAAAGATGCACAGATGCAAGACCACAATTTCAATTGGATAAAAAGTAATCACATACTGATGCTAGGAGCGCTTCGAACTTTAAAAATTAAAAATATTATCTGTTACGACTTACTATCTGTTACATGAAGTCTTTAACAGTCTCTA